GGCCGCCTGATGCGCCGTAACATCGTCCGCTATGCCGTGCTGGCGTACGTCATCACGCTGAACCACGTGAGCGTCCGCGTCAAGAAGCGCTTCCCCGGATGGCAGCACATGGTGGACGCAGGTGAGTGAGACCGAGAGACGACTTGACTTGCGTCCCCCGAAAGTTATGGTGTTTAAGAATTTAAGTAATTTGAGGTTTCAGCAGCAAGCTTGAGTTTAAATGCCGCGTGTCTGTGGAGTGCTTGCAGCAGCAGCAGCAGGGCGCGGGGCGCGGCTAGGAGGTCGGGGGCGCTGGTAGGCAGCCGCGGGCGGGCGGCGCACCAGTGCGTAGGGGGTTGCCTATGGCCAGGGTCACAGGGGCTCGGGCCGGGCCGCACTGCTCAGCGCCTCTCTGCGGCCGGGACAAAAACGCAATTCTCCTCCAGGCGGACACGGTTTAATTTAAATTTCCGCCACAAAATCGTTTTGTGGTTTTGCGGGGAACCTGGAGGGCCCAAGAGCCTTCGGCCGCCGTGGGCGGCTGACTTTTAAAAGGCCGCGGGAAGGACCCAAACACACGCCCACGCGAACGAATCGGAGTCCAAGGTCGGCTCTTAACAACTTTTTTCTCTCTGTTTCGTTTTCCCACTTTGCGCTGCCGTCGTGCGCTCGCCCGCTGGCTGCCGCGCCGTGATTATTGCTGCGTTTGGATTTATGTGGAAGTGTTTGCGTCTGCTGCAGATCGCATCTCCGCCCGAGGCTCTCCGGACGGGAGTCGATATGATTTGCGATATTGGGTGGGTCTGCGGAGGAGCCTCGCCCCGCCCCGGCCCGGTAGTGGCTCAGCGCGTGCGAAGCGAACCCGTGCGATTATCACTTTGTTTGCGAGGAGGAGCAGGAGGAAGGCGGGTCGGCCTGGCCTGGAGTTGCGTTGCGAGAACCGCGAGAGAGACGAGACGGCACCTGTTCTCTGAGTGCGAGAGAGCTGCTGCTATAGCTGCTCTGGGGACGCGTGGCGCTCCCTCCCAGTCTTACTCCGCGCAATCTTCTTCGCCGCTCCTCTGATTACCGTGCGCGGGAAGTGAATGGGCGCGAAATGTTATTGCGTCTCGGGGGATATCGCCTCGCTCGACCCCACGGCGCGCATCGTCCTCTACTGCTTTCGCCGTCCCGTATGTCTTGCCTAATGGTGTTAATTGTGCACCACTTCAAGTGTTTTCATGACTACCCGAAATAACAAACAAACGTGTGAATCGGTATGCCACTGCTTCCGACGAATCTTCGGAAGGCCGTCGATGGTCCTCCCACGCAGGTGCGGGTCGAGGTTGAGGGGGGGGGGCTCAAAGCCGTGTGAATGCTTTGGCACTTCTCGAGAGTTGTTTTCCATTGCCAATCGATAGTCGTGACGATCGCCATGTCGGCGACGAGTTCGACTCTCGCGCAGAAAATAACACCACACTAAATCGGTATTTTACGCGTCAGAGGGAACGGGAGTCTAATTTCTCCAAAGATGATTAAAAAATGTATCGTCTGCTAAAAAAAAATGAGGGAAATCCTCAAATTAACACTAGCTTGTTTTGGGCCTAGTACAAACTGTGGGTATTTTTAGGATTTCCCCCCAAAATATCAAATTGGGCACGAACTTTTATCGGCGATCGTTTCGTACACAATCAACAATGAGAACACTAAATTTTGAACCAATTCGGGAATTTGCACTTGTTTGACTCCCCTAAATCGCGAAACGGAAATTCGAGCATGCATGGTCCATGGACCTGCAAAGGCCGTGCTGTGCTGTACCACTGTGCCATCTTGTCCAGTCGGAGGAGTTGGCGTGAGTGTGAGTGACTGGCGTACAGGCAGACCGGCGGGCCCGCTGGCGGGAGGACGCTGGCACTCGAAAAGCAATGGGCGACTCGGCGCGGTTTTGTTGGTGTCGGAGGGCGGCCGTCGCACACAAAAGACGCGCGTTCTCGATTTGAAGGGAATCCGGGCGGGCGCTGACAGCTCCGCTCCGCCGAAGGTCTCGCGCGCTTAGCCGTGGGCTGCAGTAGTTGTTGGTAATGAAACTTATGGCATGCCCGTCTAATGGCTCTCTGGCTGCGCAGGCTTCATGATGGAGTGCGAGAAGAAGATCTTCGAGCTGATGGACGGCAAGAGCCCCATGTCCAAGTACTGGATGCCGCTCGTCTGGGCCACCAACATCATCAACCGCGCGCGCAAGGAGGGGCTGATCCAGTCGGACCACGTGGTGCAGACCATGCTGCAGGAGCTGTCGGACATCCGCCGCCGGCTGGGCTCGCTCATCGGCTACGACACGGTGTGCGTGCCCCTCGTGTACACGCAGGTAAGTGTCCGCCAAGACGAGACGATTGTTGTGCACAATGTGCACCCCCCGAAAGGGGGCGTTTCAGGGCCAATTTGTTCCCCCAAAAACAGTATTACAGTATCAGAAACAGGTTTAGTATTTTCAGCTTCTCGCTTCAGGAGGAAGTCTGCTCTGCACAGTAAGTGTGCAGGACCCGCCCCCCACCATCTCAGCTGGAGTTTGGCAGCGCCCAGGCGGCGAAGTGGCGGGGCGGGGTGGGGGTTGAGAGATGCACTTGTCATTGGGTTTATTACTGTCGAGGCACGATGTACCTGTAATTGTCGTGCTCTTTACGACTGCTCGGCGCTTAATGCCCGCAGCCATTGACAGTCCGTCCGCCGAGCGTGGCGTAACGGGGGAGGTTATGCGGGCCCGACTGCAGGCGGCCTGCCTGGAGTGTCTGTCTGGCCCTGGCGGGGGATCCGTCCGAAAGTTGCAGAAAGTTGACGGGGACGTGCTGGAAGGTCCGCGGAGGCCACCGCGTCGCCCTGCGACCGACTACTTGGCACGCCAGCGCTGTAACCTTCACGCCCTGAGACCCCCGCCCCGCCCCGCCGATGGAGGA